ACATATCCAACTTTTAATATTTTAATAACAAAAGATACCAATAGAAATTATGATTAAAGTTTAATACCATCCAACATCTCCCTTATTTATCAATTAATCAGCTGCTATACAAGCTCATTGAAAAAAAAAAAAAAAAAAAAGGAGCGTTTTTCTCACTATAACGTCTAAGTTTAAAATCCTCCTCCCAACAATTGTACTTGTTTGAACAAGAGTTACCAATTTACTTAGGAAAATACTAGTGTGGCCAATAAATAAATATGCAATGCATCACACAATGGTTCTGCGAATTACATACAATAGAGTTCAAATGAATAGATGAAGATGGATTGCTCTATTCGCATGATGAGTCACTGAATGAGGATTGAGGATACCTGCTCCCCCTTACATGAGTCAAAAATTACAAATAACCAATTACCAACTAAGATACTAAGTTGTATCAATGTCAATTTTTTAACTCCCCTTCTCTGTCAGGTGGAACTAAATATCGACATTGAAAAGCTACCTGCCTAGTGTCTAACTCAACTACTATTCTGGAAGAAATTAAGGTTGCACTGCATACAGATTAATTGCACAATCAGCAAAGTTTAACTCATTTAACTGTTTGCAAAGTTTGATGACAATTTCAAATGGATAACAAACATTCCGGAGGGAAGATCAAAATATGCACAATTGTTCGAAGGAAGAGTAACAGGGTAGCGCATGGACTTGTAAGAAGGGTAGCTGTCATTGAGGAGGATGGATGGTGGGTAACCGAGTCCATATTATGCAGTTTGTAGCACATGACATGCTTAATACGTATTATGTTATCTTTTGAAAAAATAACATGAAGTATTCACATCAAAAAATTAAAAAAATAAAAAAAAGGTGGTTTTCCAAGCCAAATTATGATACATTTGGTTAAAAAAAGTGATGGCATTGGTTAAGTCAATTACAAGTTAAAGTAAAAGCCTTTGATGATTTTGTAAATTTAAATTTTCATTGAGACGATATTCAATTAAATAGATGAGGAAAAGTTGAGGGTAATTTGGTTTGACAATGTGAAAACCTGCAAAAATATATGTTTCATCACTTGTAACAATACAACATATCCAACTTTTAATATTTTAATAACAAAAGATACCAATAGAAATTATGATTAAAGTTTAATTCCATCCAACATCTCCCTTATTTATCAATT